AAGTTGACAACTTTGTCCCGTCGTCTGAGATGTAGATCAACACAACAATAACTTGAAATAACTCTATACATCCTTAAACCTCCTTCCAAATCAGGTCATGTGAAAAACCCCAAAATAATGTCAGAATCATATTGTATCGTTCTACAAACAGCAGATCATTTGCTGAATCGACACATTTATGTTTTCACGTCTCCCTTATAAAGTATATATACTGGCAAACCACACCCACTCCTGTTCATCACGACTGAAATGGGTCAGGCCACGGACAGTATCACCGTACATTTGCACGATTTTTTGTTTTGGAATCAAAAACGATGTCAGTATATACTAATAAAGTTAACAACCGGATTCCAAGGAAGTAAGCTTTACAAGAAATAGCATGACAATATTGTTAAAGCTGAAGTTGGCTGGAATTTGTGTGTTAGCAAAGCACAGGGCCACATAGTCAGGCTACAAAGTATATACAGTAGGCCCTGGACACTAGTTTTTGGAACACATTGTGAAGCACTTTATCATTATGTTTATCATGATACGTGGCCGAGATGTTAACGTGGTATAAAACTGTGTATTGTAAGTATATTTTGGTGCATGCACATTTGTAATGAATCATGAACAGGATTAAGACGAGTCTCCTGAGGAACCATGAGCTGTGTCTGCTCTGTCACTAATCTTCAGTATACGGGGAACTGTAGTTATTGCATTTTTTTTCACAGGTAAATATGATTACAAGTTAATCCTGCAGTTCCAGTGGTTTTTAAATATCTTACAAGAGGATGATAGTTTTCAGTGCCTGGGTTTTGCTTCAAAGATTGACAGCGCTGTTCTGAATTGGCTGGTGATTTTGCCCGGTCGATAGCATGGACAGGTACTTAGAGACAGATTAGACACTTCTGGACTCACAGTTTGTGGTGTCTAATGACTAAAAGAGATCGATGTGTTTTGGCCCTGATGCTTCGCCTTGTTTTCCGATGTGAGCCACAAACAGCCTGGCTCTGCAGAGGACACATTCTACAAATAGTTCATTTTTGTAATCACATAACAGCATTTTTTTCCCCCGTTTATTACACTCACATTTCAGCATTCTAGCTTGATTGTATTTTTTTAATATGAAGTTTGGGAAACGTGTAGAAAACCACTGTGCTTAATGTGGTTATGAGCAGGTTATACTTTTGTCCTCATTTCTGCTATTTACACAGTTGCGAGCTACAAGACACATGCTGAATCTGTCCATTAAAGCTGGGGTACCTAACTTAAAAAAAAAAAAAAAAAAGATCAATTTAAACATATTTAGTTTTGTATTTGTGACCCCTGTCAGATATTTAAAGTAGCTTTTTAAGGCAGAAACGTTAACAAGAGAAGCCAAATCTGACTCTTAGCTCTCTGCCCATAGTATAGTATAGTATAGAGTTACAGGGCTTTTTCTTACACACATGCAACATACATAACACATTTCCTCACAAAATGAAAGCAGCTTGTCATGGTCTGATTTGTTTTCACATTTTACTTGTTCAAATCTGCATTGGGTTAAACAACATGTATCATTTACTACTAAAAAAATGATGTACTCCAGATTTAAATTGTATTACTCTACTCAATAGCAAGTATTTGTTCTTCACGATGAGCCGTGTGCGTCTTGGGACCATGAGTGCTCTGGTTCAGATGGAGAACCAGGGAGCTATTGTGAATTATCAATACAGTATCATTTTTAAACAGATGTGGTCTCGAGCGGATGCAGCTGTGAGTGCAGGGACTCGGAAACCAACTGGGACCAATCACTTTACTTACAGTTTGTGTTTTTCATTACAATATCCAAACTGCAATAGATAGCAGATCAAAAGTTATTAAATAGACTTAAAATAGTTTGAAAAAAGTCTATACAAGCTCCTTTATTTCATAAGTCCTTTATTCTGTAAGTCCCATGGAAGCCTTTACACTGTATATATCTATGTTCAATATTCAAGATTTTTGGAGATTTTTTTCACCTTTGACTCCCATTGTTATTAATTAATTAATTTTGTTTTACGTACATTACTGCACTTTCTTTTGTTTCTGTATCTCTATACTAAGTTGTCTGCATTGGTCAGTAAATATGTGAATATTATTGTTACAAAATTGACCTAAAAGATGCAACATTTTTGAGATTTTGTTACAGATTTTTGTGCTCAGTTCAAGTATCAACACATTCTCGATGCAGTGGTAAGCAGTAAGCAGAGTCTTGTAAAAGCTACAGTTATAATTGTCTTATTTTTAATTAAAAGTCAGCATTTGTTCGGTGCTTATCCTCCTCTCCACACGCTGCCTTTTATATCAGCACTGCGCAGTAAGCAGAAAGACACACACCAGTGTCACTTATAATCTGTGACAATACTGCTGTGATCTCTGCAGCACAAAACAGAAAAGTTTTTGTGCCAATCCTGCAAATAAATTATGTAATTCAAAATCATCCATTTATTACCCTGCCAACAGGGATGGGGGTATTGTTATTGCCTCTTTTTGAGTTTGTGTGTGTGCATCTGCAAAAAGTATACGGATTTGAAATGTCTTTGCAATGTGATGGTAGAAATGTGGAGTTGGCTTTGTGAGTGCATCTTGGCCGATATGGAGCTTTTCTTTATGAAGTTTGCATGTTCTCCCCATGACTACACCCTCAGGGTGCTCCGGTTTGAGTGAATGAGTGTGTGTTTGTCAGTGGACTTGTGGGACATCGACTGGAAATTAGCCCAAGGCTACAATCTGGAGAGGTGTGTTGATTACCTACTCTGTCCCAACTAAATCAACAACAAAAAGGAAATTCTATTTTTGTATACGTGTAGTCTTTAGTCTGGTGATAATGAAACAATTCCCAGTTTTAAATTCAAACAAGTAAATAAAATATTTATGGCTCATTTCCACATTTGTTTATCAGAAGGAGAATGCATATTGACCAACAGTATGGCCTGTATTATATGTCAAGAGGCTAATTCTCATCTGTAGTCCTTTACTGGAGGCACCAGGAAGAGCGGGTCACAGTTATGTTTAAAACATCTTTAAACAATTAAAATGTAAGTTTCACACTTTAGAGGATCATATACACTGCCACTTTGATAATGCATGTCCTTATTCTGAACTGGAGGGGTGAAGAGGGCATGACGGGGGGCAATATCATGATCAGATATTTTTGTCAGGTGTTTGTGTAAATTTGCATTTGAAAAAAAAGCAATCTTTTATAAAAGAGGCCCCCGTTGTACAATATTTTGGACTAATGATAATTGTGTGGTGTGTTGAACACTGGACATCCAGATATCAGTCACTCATTTGCTTGTGCACTTATTGTTTTTGCAAATAGTAGTCTAGCATTTCTCAAATCTAATTGTGCTTTCTTTTCTTTAAATTGTGTTTCTCCACACTAATGGAGAGGTTCACTCCTTTCTGATTTTAAACTTACTTATTGGGATTTCTTTCCCAATTGGAAACATAATAGAATTTGAAATATGTCATTAAATGGCTTCTGTCCATTACCTTTTCCTCAGGGTTATCAGCACTAATAGAACAAGAATCAGAATTCTTTTTTTTAAGGCCATTGAAAGTAACAGTCACACGGTGCAAACAGGTAGCACATAGATATAATGTATTATATCAACGTGCATACATACAAAATCTGAATACAATTTTAATTCATACACACACACAATTGAGATGAGTGACATAAGTAAGAATAATATGGATCCAATGCTTTTTGTTGCTTCTGTCCATTGTAAACATCAGCAGTCTCTCAGTGTTGTGCATGGATTGTGATACCACATGAAGGTGATGGATTGGAGTGTTCCTCATTTGTGTTGAGGATTCCACAGACGGGGACAAGGGCACTCGAGACAGTCTTTCATCTGCTGCTGCTGGGACTTGGATTATGAACACAGAAGAGGGATTCACTCACTTTGGTTCAAGAGATATTTTAGGCAAAGACCAAAAGAGTAAAATTTCTTATCAAAGACATTCATTCTCTTATATTCATTGTGGTTAGCCTGGATATGCTCATAATGCTTTACGCGCTCAAATAATTTCAAAGTGGCAGAACAGCCTGGAAACTCGGGTTGAAATGTTTGCATGGATTTGGGGACTGACCATGATGACTGTTCGACGGAGGGGTGCTTGTTGTTTGTTTTGGGATCCAGCAGGTAGCAGCAGACATGTAGCTTTCATTCCACATGTTTAACTTACACAAATGGCAGTAATTGATTGTGATAACATTCATCTTTTTCACTTTTTCCTTTTTCATCAAATTTATGTCGCTCTACACGCATTTTTGTGTTACATTTTTACGATTGCCCTATATGTGCAGACACTTACACATACATTTCTAGCACCCACTACATGGCTAGGGACTCAGACTCAGACTACTTTATTTATCCCACCAAGGGCAATTCATTTCATTTGAGCTGCACTATAAAAAAAACACACCTTTCCTACAAGAAAATGCATGTATGGTTCCCAGACTACATATCACTAAATCATTACTTGTGATCTGTAGTGTGGTGTTAGCCGGCATACATTTTGGTAACAATAATAAACATTTGTTGAGTGATTAAGCACTTTTGACTGCAAGAATCAGGACTTGCACAGCAGACCATAAAGACCAGTGCAGAGATATACCTGGATATGGAAAATTCATTAATATGGAGTAAAACATGACATTTGTGTAATGTGATTCACAGCGGTACTACTGCATTCAATAGCCATTTATTTGAGCGTGTTTATCGCTGTTATTTCTATACTTTATAAGTTTGCTACGTAATCATTTTTTGGAAATTTGCTTTGTGTCTATGCTGCGTGTAAACACTGGGAAAAGCCTTGGTTTCATTGTTTTAAAAGAATCAAACAAACTCAATAATTGTTTGAATCCCTGTTTGGTTATTCGTCCATGTCTGAGAATTTGTTTTGATATTTGAATGACATCACCCATGTTTCTGTCTCCGCAGAGTGAGCAGCCGTGAACCTGGAGACGTCTCCCCATCGGAGACAAGATGGCGTCCAACCACACCATCCGCAGCTATTCCATAATCCCATGTTTCATCTTAGTGGAGGTGAGGGGTTTGCTTGTTTTTTCATAAATCATGAGAAAAGCCTGTGCATATATTGTAATCTGCAAAATGTTTCTGCCTTTAAAATGTTAACTAAATGCCATTACTTTCCGGTAAATTATACACGTCCTGTGCAAAACCCAAGTCTTCCGTATATAATTACCACGTCAGCTCTAAGTTCTTAATCAGAGTCCTGTCTCCAGACACTTTGCCCGTTTCTGCTTCCACTCTCTCTACATTATGCTTCACTGGTTGAAACCGTTTTACATTCTCCTGGAGTTTTGTCTCACTCCGTCGCCCAACCGCTGCCACATGTCAGTTTCAAGCAGATGTGGCAAACATACTGCCCATTTTAGACCATTTTGTGGACCCCCGCAATTATTTATACTGGTGCATGTGGGGCCATTCCAACTAACTTTAGTGTCCAAACATTGATGTCCTTAAATTAAAGATGCTGTTACTGCAGAATAGAACAGGACGATAAAGGCAGAGAGCTACTCCTAAAACCCTGGGAAAAGTGTGATGACTCATATTGGTATGAACGAGCCTGGTATTGGGAACAGTCTTCATTTATCATCACATATTTGTTACTAGTGACAAAGTATGTGCATCTACAATAATAAATAATGATAATGAATAATACAATCTGAAATATTGTAAAAATGTTTTTTGATTTGGTCATTTCTAAATCCTATGGTGAGCTACTTGAAAGGGGGTGGGGAGCTTTTTTTTTTTTTTTACAAACAGAATACTTCTTTACCTTTGATCCAGTTTTGGTTCAATCTATAATTGAAGTCATTTACTTTGGGAAATGGTGGCTGTGGTCGTTTTGTGGTTGTCAAATATACTTCTTACTTATGCTTATTATGTATTATACTTTTAGGGTTAGTGCTCCAGGGGTTTGGTTTGACCACTTTTGTTTAAGTAATGGTTAGAAAACACTGTATCAGTTTTTTCCCTATAGCTCTAAATTTTTTTAAATAATTAAGTACTGTTGATTGTTTCACTGTTTAAATCTAAAAAGCAGCAGATATGGGTAGCATTTTATATTTCATAATTGGAGACAAAATGCCTTTTTGGACCCCCTGAATCCTCCATCACCAGTTGATAAAATAGTTAAAAAAAACAAGTGCTAAAATCTAAACATTTTCCATCTATCTAACCCTCCAATGTAATTGTTATATATTTGGTCCTTATTTAAAACTTCCCTATACTGCAGATTATACAGAAATTTTATGAAATATTCCATACGCGGCTAACACAGTGATGCCTCTTATAGAACCATGTATGAAATAAACATGGAGGGTTTGTTCTTCAAAAAATGTGGGAAATTGACCTGAGGCATTGTCAAGTTTGTTTAAGTTATAATTGCATAAAATATGTAGCTTGAATTTATTTAGATGTGGAAAAAAGGAAAGATGCAGAGTCAGAGCAAAGACATGAGCGCAGATGGCGAGAGCTGAATATGTCCATAGAGTTTTAGCTTCTCCAAACACACACAGCCGGGTTGAGGGAAAACTCATGATCAAAAAGAATGCACCGATAAGATAGATATAGCTACTCATAATGCAAATGTTGCTTGATCGAGTATCGGTTTGATGATATCTGTTCAGCCGTGGTCATGATGATATGTTTTTTTCATAGTCACAGAGGCCTATGACAGATATAGAGCCAATATTAATTTGCTGTAAAAGGGAAAATGTTGAAATCAAAATGTGGTATAACACAAATAGATCATAAAAAGTACATCAAGATAATAATAAGTACATCAAGATAACTGCTTCTACTGTATTTGTAATAACTTTGAAAAAATACTGGATTCATAGCCTTTACTGATTGGTCAGGAAAGGTGACCGGTGACAAAGAGACCATTATTATTATGTTATTTTCTTGGCTTCTATTCCTTACATACATTTGGAACTCAAACTACGCGGCCATTTTCTACACACCACAAAACATCTCGCTTTTACTGATATTTAGAAAATAAAGCTAAGCAAAATAACACAAGGATTTCCGACACTTTTTCATTTGCAGCCCGTCAAACGCTTTCATTTCATTCACACCACAAATCTCGACCTTGAATATCAGTTTAAGATACTCAACCCTCGACACAGATCTGTAGATTAAAGGGGCGGTTTCAGAAGCTTTCTCTGCTCCATATCAAAACCATAGATAAAACATGTTTGAGATTCCACATTTCTCTGTAGATTCTCGCACCCACCTCCACTGACTCATCTAAAGCCAATGCTGTTTTCTCCGTCTCTTCTCTGATGTGTGCGTCGGATCCACTTTTCACAGGCCCCTTCCTCCCTCCTCATCCGTCCATATTTCATCAGCACTTCCTCATTAACGCTTTTTTTTTTTTTAACACTCTTTTGCATCATTTTGTCTTTGTAATCCAATGTTCTTTTTTTTTCTCCTCCTCGTCTTGCTTCCGTGTGCGCTGTGCGTCATGTGATTGGACGGTATCAGGAGCATCTGGGCTGGAGAGCGCAGCCAGAGCGCAGATTCTTTATGTTGATTTCGTCGTATCGGAGTGCACACGCATCTGTCTGTGTCTTGATCATTTGCAGCTAAGGTACCGAATTGGGCTGTAATGAAGGACTATTATGATCACTGACTAGTTGGCTGTTTACTATTTCGATTTGAAAATAGTTTATCAATTAGTTTCCATCCGGAAAAGCTCAGAGAAAGATGAAGCTGAATATCTTCATAGATATACATTGTTGTTTTAAAATACTTTGAATACATCACATTTGGGCGGCACGGTGGCTGAGTGGATAAGACTCTCGCACTCTCGCAAGAAGGTCCTGGGTTCGAATCCCGGTCGGAACAGGGCCTTTCTGAGTGGAGTTTGCATGTTCTTCCTGTGTCTGCATAGGTTTCCTTCGGGTGCTCTGGTTTCGCATACCACTAAAAAAATGCTCACTAGGTTAAATCCTCCAGCTCTGGAAGTCCTGACCAAGCCGAGCATTAACATCTGGAGATGGGTTCCCGGGTGTTGTTACTACGGCGACCACTGCTCCTGACGTAAGCCTTAGTGGCATCAGGATGGGTCAAACGCAGAGAACAAATTTTCCTACGGGGTAAATAAAGTGCACACTTAATTCTGTAGTCATTATATAATTATTTGCAATGTTCATAAAACCTCTTCTCAGCGGTTTGATTTTAAATGTATTTGTTTGATCAGGGACAATTTACAATAAACAGTCTTGCACACACACACACACACACACACATACACGTTTTTGTTACCTGGTGGGTCCCTTTGACAGGGCCGTTCAGAATGGGACCCATAGACATAATCTTTTTTTACCAAGACTTTAAGTAATACAAAACAGTCAATAGAAACCAAACAACTATTTTAAAGGAATTTTATTTTAGATTTTGTTTTCGAATTGCAGTGATTCTATTTTTGACATAGAATTTAATGCCACTCCATGTCCGATGTCTAAGGTCATCTGGTGAGGCATTAATGCAGGCCAGGCAGTGAGACTTCCCAGGGACCTTTCCAGTCTGTATGAAAGGTGTCATGGTCTTCTCCACAGCCTTCACCTCAGATGCAGACCATGGCTTTCTTACACGTTCTAGGAAGAGAAATAAAAATATATTAGCAATATACACTCCCAGGGTGAGGACCAAGCAGCCTGGCTGTAATCCCCCACCTGGTACACTTACCAGAAGGGGCACTGCCACTACCATGGGGTGCATCTGGATGAATGGTTGAAGGTTCTCCGCTTGAAGTTTCTTTTAGCCCGTCCGTTTGTGAGAGGATCTCTACTGCTCTCCCTGTCGCACAGAAAATAAAAATACAAGTGGCCTTTAGGGGAAAAAAATCATACATATTTTAATAATATCAAGAATTACCTTCAGGCTCAATTTGTATCTGGTCGAGGCTCTTTCCTTCGAATTCCGTCACTCTTCCCTGCTCCATGGCCATCAACACTTTGCTGATTTTGGCCAGCTCCAGTGTCCCCTCTGGTAGTCTGTAATATTGCCTGTGGATGCGAATGTCATGGCCGAGGAAGTTGGCAAGTATGTCCATCTCATTCTCTTTCATATTGAGAACTGTAGACATAGTAGCTATGTGCTTTCTAAGTTTGGTTGAGGATAGCATCTCTGGATGCACTGCACCACATTCTTTGGCTACCTGGCGTAGGGAGTCTGATCCCCTGATGTGGGTGTCTGCGCCCGGGCGGGAAAAGAAGTATGGGTTATGGTCAGAGATGGAACAGGCCCTTCTGTTCTCCACCAGCACCTCCATCGAAGCAATCATTTCAGGAGTCAAAAGAACCGGCACTTTCCGACTTCTTTTCCCTTTAATTTCAATGCGTTGAAAATGCTGACACAGCTTTTTCTCAAGTTGGGACAGTCCCAGAGCAATGTCAGAATGGATCCCAGTCTTACTTCTTAAGGTAAAGGCTGTCAGTGGCATCTTTGAAACCTCACCTTCCCTTCTTCGATTGAAAATGATGACCTCACAAAGAGTCAAAACTGCCAGTTTAGACCAATGCTTAGACGTTGGCTCACTTATTAGGGTTTGCACATATTCAGGTCGACATACCTCAATATGTGCATGCATGGCTCTAACGTCCTCAGTCAGAGGGAGCAGGTCCGGAGTGTTCCACTTGGCTTGCCGGAGGGTCTGTAGGGCAGCAGAAGAAACACAGACGTCCCACCTCTTCTCAAAAAGCAGCCGGCTTCGTTGGAGGTTTTTAATAAATAGTTCATCAACACAATGCTCCATTTTTGAGTCACATTCAAGAATATCTGCTAGCTTTCTGAGGCTATGGCCGAGTTTGAGGGCCAAGGATGGAGTCTTGTATTGATTTGTTTCCTCATCATATCCAGCCACAGACCTGACTGCATCAATCACATGGTTAAAGTTGGAAGGAATAAAGAAATCCTTAATTGTTTTCAGTTTCCCTGCGGTTTTTGCTTCGTTAATTAACCTACCGACTTCTCTCATTTTCTGCCTAATGTAATCATGCTTAGTCTTATCA